CTTGCGCCTTCGCGCGGCTGCAGCTGGCACGCGTATAAGCAGCTTGTGGTCATGGCGAACCTCGAGTCTATCTAGGTTGGGGAACAGGTGCTGAAATCCTGCGCTCGGTCGAACAGATGTCAAAGCAACCTTGATTACTTTCTCGTCTAACAAAGTAGCCGAGATTGTGTTTAGGCGCTCCAGCAAAGATTCGAAGTCGGCAGCTTGATCCCCCGCCCTGGCGAAGTGATCAACACCTTCTATCATGATGTAGATGGTAGAAGATGGGAGAACGCGCAGACATTCCACGAAAATCCTCCATGAAAGGTCCAGATCTTTCTTGGCAGCAACGAAGATCTCGGCATTGAACAGCTTCGGATCGCCGTGTGAAGTCACTGTTGGGAACTTCTGGAGCATACCAAAGAGGAGGCTCTGTACGAGAGCGCGTGGCTTTGGTGTGTCGTCGTCACTTCCTCGATGTAGGCTCCCGAAATACGAAAGTGTGTCATAGCCGCTCTCTGAAGCTGCACGCACAATCTTTGGAGACAGGTCTGTCGTCCAGCTGGGGCGGCGAGGTATCTCATATCCATCTACCCACAGAAGACCAGACTTTGTACTGCTTAGCCATGCCTGGAACGAAGGAAGACAAAGGACATTGCTGCTTTCTGCCAGATAAGACATTGGTAGCAAATCTAGTTGGAGCTGAACTCGATGTAGATTTCTGTCTAGGGGAAGTAGGTCCTGAAAGAAATCATCGCATATCTCGAGCTCGGGCGGTTTGAGAAGCTTTCGGTCAAAATTTTCAGATGCTGAGAGGAACGTTAGAGCTTCCAACTGGCATTGCCATTTTTGCACTGACCGTCTATCGTTTTGCTTCTTCTTTCTCGATCCATGTCATCCCTACGAATTATCTCTTTGTCGGGCGTATTAGCGCTGAACAAGGTCTTGGAACAGGCTTTTTGTGCCAGTGGTACCTTCTAGTACTCTAATGATTCGCCCATGATCTTCTTTGATCTCGAACAGGTCTCTCTGCATACTACAGTGTCGTTGAAACTGATAGATCATGAACTGAATTTCGGCTTCTTGTCTCAGAATAGCGTAATTGTCGTCAATGGTCTTGAGAATGGGCCCGAGCCTGGTGTCGAAAGGTGCGACCATCGTCTTGAAGGTCTTGACTGGTGGCGAGCGAGATTGCATCGTCAGCAACTTGAATGTATCACGCTTTCATCGGAAGCTCTCATACCCAAACAATTACTACGCAAATACCGCAGACAAAATGCCAGGAAATCTGCGATCGACGCGTAGATAGCCGCAGCCGCATTTGTCATTTTCTCAAATGGATAGAAAGACAAAAGTAGGCTCACGAGCTCTAGTTTACTCCCTATATGTCCAAGATTGGTGACAATACCTTCCTTAACCTTTTGGTACTCGATCGGAATCATGAGCAACAGCTTCATCGTTCCCCAAGCTAGACTAACCCATTCAGGATGATGTTGTGCCAGTGTATCCATGACTGCGGCATAATGGAGAGTTGATTTGCAAAATTGCTGCAGGCCTGCTTGTACATTGCTGTTGAGGCTTTTTGCGTCTTTGCTTGAAGATCTGGCCTCCTGCAGGGCGTTTGCCTGAGCTAGGACATCTTGAAGCTCGCAGCCGTTTCTGACCACAATCTCGAGTTTTTCATGAGTAGCTGCGATGTTGTATTCATTTACCGCCAACCCCAGCTGTTCGAACTTGTCTGTCAGAGATGGGCTGGCGGTCACATCAAGCGCCCACGCATTCCTGTTCACGTCGACGGTAATACTATTTGGCGTGCGAGATAGTGTCGTATCTGTCCCAACATCCTGAGTTTCTTGGAGCGTTTTCAAAGACTCTATTAGCTCTGCTTCATCCATGGATTGAAATTTCTGTGTCTTAGTCTTTTCAAGAATTTGGGTCAGTTTCCCATCACGAAGTCGGGGTCTGGAGAGTGCTTTCGGAGGTGGATGGCCCAGTCTGAACATTCGCCTCATAGGGCCAACCCGGTCTTGGGGCTCGCTGACACCGGATAGACTGCTGCTCATGTTGCGGTCGACATTTGTTTCTATGAGAATTCTTCGCAGTGCACAATCAAATAAATTACCTTGAGAACACCCTTATGACATAGAGTATGAGAGAAATCTGGGCAGCCTGGTCGATGTGTCCAAAAGAACGTTGAAGTGGCCGCCTGGGAAAATATGCGGGCTCATCATTCACCGTGCATGCCCTCGTGATCTGAATGACTTCCCAGCCTGCAGTCAGTGCTATTGGAGCATACAATTCGCCTAAATGTACATAAGCACGATAAGCAAGACTTCAATTGCCCGATACTACCAAAAAAGCGCCACTTCTGATGCAGGAGACAACTGCAACTTACTGCGGTATGCCACAGCCAGAAATCAGGCTGACCAATTATTCATCGAAAAGTCGAGAGCGCAGCACCTCGTCCACATGGGCGGCATGTTCTCAGAGGGAAATAGGAAAGGATCAGTTCTTGATAGCTTTTGGCAACACATGAATGGTTTAAGGAGATTACCAGTCGGAATAGAGGTGATGGAGTACGCGGCCTGATAGGACGTCATACGATGTAAGATGCAGGATGACTGCTGATCAAAGCCTGATTCAACATGCACATACCATAGTACAGGTAGAAAGTGCTTCGTGACACACTTCAATCGATTGGATAAGTCGGTTCCACTTGTATTCCTCTAAGATAGTCGCAATACATTAAGCTGTGCCAACTGAGAACATATTGCAGACGGCAGCCTCGCCCGGGGACAGGGCATCTCAGGCAACGGAAGGCAAACACAATTGTATTATAAACTAACGGCTTGTACATCCAATTGGCAACCTACTGGTACTGGAAGGCTTACTCTGTGTTCTAACAACTCATTGTATGGCGGATCTCCGACTTGACCCGCCGCCATGCATTCAGGATCCGACATTTCACATAGCCTTAGCGAAACAAATCAGCGCACATTCCTCAGTCACCGGGACTCTCCAAATAGCGAGATTGACGAGTCCCCAGCTCCTTCAGTTCATATGACAACGCGTGGAAATGGAAATAAGAAGAAATCCGACCCTTCCGCTCCTTTGCGAGAAATCAACGAGGTACGTTCAAGTCTGGGCGTATTCAGTGAAGTACGTGTCTAACGAGTACCAGTTCGGTATTGGAATCGGCCATGCCACAATACGTTCATACCGGGATCGTCAGGGACTTTTCAAAACAGTCCAGCTAGTCGGCATGCCATCGGAAGACGAGAAATACAACGATATGCCACAGGTACCGGAGGTCACTTTACCATCATGTGGATGCATTCGGAAAAGTCTGGCCAGAAAAAATCGAGGTAAATTGGTGGGAGTTTAGCGATTTCCTAAGAGGCCTTCAGCCGTTCCCTTTTGATGAAGGGACGACAGGCCGAGGGATGGTTTTCTATCCGCCATATGTGACACTTTTTTTCCGCTTAGACGCACTCAAGAGGCAATCATCGACAACGCAACCGAATTCTACGACCGCTAACGATACCATGGCTTCAACACATAACCTTGGTATTACCAAGACAATCCTGGAGTTTCTCGAACCAACCTTACGTGAAGCCCGATCGAGACTCGAGGCCTTGAACTCGGCCGGTCCCAGCACTCTTGTCCAATATGACGATCTCTGGATGCTTTACAAGCCGGGCGAATTAGCTTTCGACAGAGCTTCGGATCCGGAGGCCATGTGCTATGTAGTTGACTACCCGATTGTCAATATGGCAAACCCTGGAATGTACCCAGGACTGTTACAGCTATTTTGCTGGTCGATGCGATACAGTCCGCAATTAGGTGTCTTCTCAAAACAGCATCGTATTCTTACCGTAAATCGATTCCACGGTGGAACTGAGATCGCAAAACTGCGTCTCATACCAGCAAGATTCGTGGAGGATTTAGATGCTGTCAAGACAGCTGCAGTCTCTCGAGGCCAGAGCTACTGGGAAATGAACACGACATCCAAATTTCAACAACTTTTGACATCGAAAGAACATGGGCATGATGGGGGTTCCGGGATGAGAGTCATTGTGGACGCACACGACGACAGTGCAATGGATGGAGGCCAGCTCCCGCGCGTTCCATCACCCATCTTCAGCCAACGCAAAGCTGTCGCAAAGTGGAACGAAAGGGTTGGGAAAGGATCTGGTATTTCTCAGACGACTGAGAATCGCGGGTTAGCTTACGACCCTTTCGATATCCCCATGCGAACCGGATCCGAAGAAGCAGGAAAAATGCGGGCCAATTGGTTTCACGACTACGACAGCCTTTCGCCAACGGCTGAACCGGATGACTTGGCCCTAATGCTTTGCCCTGATGTCGTGAAAGCATTCAATCTCCGTGAAAAAAGATGGGGTAGGTACTCGTAAGCATCGTACGCTTCAGTAGAACTAACTGATATGAAGAGTGGTACAATGTCGTCGACCTCAAACCTGTGCAATTTGCAGTCGATGCCTGGAAACGACTGGTCCTCAAAGCGGAGTACAAAGAAGTCATCTGGGCCATGGTCAAATCTTATCTCGCGCATAGTACCAATTTCCATGACCTTGTTGACGGCAAGGGTGAGGGCTTGGTCATTCTTCTTCATGGGCCTCCAGGGGTTGGCAAAACTTTAACCGCGGGTATGTGTTCTTACTCGAGTTGACCAAGATGGATGTTGACAAAGCATCAAAAAGAGTGCGTAGCGGAGTCATTCAAAAAGCCTCTTTACATGGTAACCGCAGGAGACCTTGGGACACATCCCGAGACCCTCGAGGGGAAGTTGTTGAAGATCTTTCATCATGCCCTAGCATGGGATGCCATACTACTGCTAGACGAAGCAGACATCTTTCTGCAGGAACGAGACTACGATAATCTGCAAAGAAACGCGCTGGTATCCAGTACGTCTTCCTCTTGAATCCGAACAAAGAAACCTCGACCAAGTGCTGACTTCAAACGCAGTCTTTCTCCGAACGTTGGAATACTTCAACGGCATCATGTTCCTCACCAGCAACCGCATCGGCGCCTTCGACCAAGCCTTCCAATCCAGAATCCACATCACAATCGGCATGCCAGAATTTGACGAACCCCTCCGCAAAGAAGTCTGGAAGATCTTCATCCAAGACCTCGGCCGCAAGCGCCGCGACGGCTCACCGGCTCTCCTCTCACGGGAAGAGTGCAAGGCGCTAGGCAGCGAAGTGACCAAATCCTGGGCTTGACAGCCCCTCAACGGCAGGCAAATCCGCAACTGTGTCAGGAGCGCGTTGGCACTGGCGGAAGATAAGGGGGTCAAGCCGGACGCGAGCCACTTCAACAAGGTCCTTAAGCTCGGGAATGCGTTCACCCAGTACATGACCAAATTGCAAAAGGCAGAGGCTGAGGAGATAGCTCAAATCAAAGGTGACCGACTGGCAGCAATGAAGGACATCATGGCGCGGGATAATGATCTGTGAGCGGATTTTCTTCTGCCTGAAGACCAGTGTAAGGTGGGGGCAAAGATCATTGGCGGATGAAAGGGTGGATGGGTTGATAGATGGATGATTTTGACCGACATTCTATTCCTCAATGCACTGATCACAAATCTTCTTCAATTGATGAGCTTGCTGCCACAATGTCACAGCTATACCCTGCTTACTGGCCAACAAGGCTGCCATCTCACCGTCCTCTTCTAACGGGTTATCTCAGACTCCTAACCTACCTCGCTCCCGAGACATAGGAACTACCCCATACCCCCTCCTCTAAATATCGATATTAGTCAATAATTTTTATCCAGAATCAAGATAGAATATAGGGCTTGGGAAGAAGGATACTGTGTGACCCCCATTCTTATATAAATATGATTACAACAGTAAATAGTTTGTAGTAGCGAACGTGGGCGCCTTTGACCCCTTATCGGAGGGATCCGGCATCAAAAATTTCATCATCATCATCATCATCATCAGAATTTGCTTACTGGCCATCTCTTTACCCTTGCCGTTGGTATCCGGACTCAAGGAATCAGCGAGTCAATTCAAATTGATGTTGGCTCCACTTCGTAGAGCAAGTTCGTCTGTCCAACGCCATTGAAATAAAGTTGGCTTGACTGACTGGCATCTGGATGTGTTGCAACCCTGCCATAGCTCAATCTCAGCTTAGGTACTCCAGCTAGGCCCTCTAACAGATAACAACAGAGACAACGGCCTCCTTCGAGGGAACTAATGTGCTCGTACACGGTAGCGATTGGGCAATCCCTATGTTCTCATCTTCCTAGACAACCTAGCGAGGTTACGCAACTGCTTGACATCACCCTCGGTGACAATCATTTCGTCACCCCTCATCACTAGCTCATGCTTACTGACAGGGAAGCCCGAATTGAGTAAAAGATAAGAGAGCATCGAGATTGGCCTGCTGCGAGTGAAGTCTTGCCCACCACTTCGGAGTGATTCAAACAAGGCGGGGTAACAGAACTTAACAGGAGTTGGAGAAGATGTGGACGCGTGACCGTTGTTGCACATGTTGCTGGCTGGTTCAGATGCTGTGCCGTGGGTTCAGGGTCCACCAGGAGCTCTACACTACCGCGGCGCGGAGCCGGACCTCCGGGAAGCGGCCTGCAGTGCTAGCTTGCCAGGTGTTTCGGCACAGCAAAACAGGCGGAAGAGGTGGCAATGAACCTCATGGCCGCTGCTGTGTTATCTAGCAAAAGAAATGTTGGAATGGACCTTGATCAACGTAGCCATCACCAATGGAGTAAGCCTCTCACCATTAAGCTTTCTCGTGACACAACACGACGCATGGCTTATGTGGGACGGTTGCAAAATCCGGGCAGGCTGCACTGGATGGACTGGCTGCCAAGATAAGCCAGCTGCGTGGCCAGAGAACGGTTCACGGTTGTCGTGTTGCTAGCGGGAGGGCTAATCTGGCAGGCCGGGGATCTATCTGGCCAAGGACGAAATCCGCGTGCGAAATGGGGTCCGCTGGTGTTGAGACCCGGAATTTGCGGGGAAGCAGACCAAGTCGAGCGTTGTCGAAGACGAAGATGGATGGGAATCCCAGCAACGAGTCAAGAAGGGAGCTGCGGATGTGGATAGTCTGGGGAAGTGTTGAACAGAGGGGTTGGTCAGACCAGGGTTCGGGGAGGTCGGCGGTGTTCTGGTTGGCTTGGGGAGGGATGACGGGTTCGGGAGGGGTGGGATCTAGGTAGAGCATCAACAGAAGAAGGAGGAGATAAACGTTCCAATATGTGCAACGATATACTAGGTGCGGTGCCAGAGTTCTTCTTGGAGTTTCGACGTGGGATACAGGCGTGCATGAACAGAGGATGCAGCGAGTCGTGAAGTTGCGTCGAAAGAAACATGTTCCCCTCCTTGCTTCGTTGCTTCGGGCACTTTATTGACTCGAGTAGCCGGGTGCGGTGCATCAATGAAGGAAAAGAAGACATTGTATCCATAAGCCGTAAGGTACGGAGTACGGATACTGTTCGCCATCCATCCAACCAACCCCCACTGCCCACGTCCCTGTCTCTGGCGGCTGAGAGACCAGGCTGCTTCGCCAATCTCTCGTCGCTGAGATCCTGCGTGCCACCTGAAATGCATCCTGGTCCAAGCGACGGAGGGTAATTGGAGCAGTGTGCATGTCGCTGACGGATGGTTTGTCTATCCGGGGCAGCACTTGTTAGGGCCCGTCTGCATGCCAAGTGGGCGCTGTCAAAGATAGAAGAAGGAGGCGTCGAAGTCCAGCATGTCGAGCTAAGGTAGCCTGGTTGCCAATAGTCTATGTACAGCACACCAAACGTGACTGAAGGAGGACCGGATGGTGACACGACAGCTGCTCGTGTTGGTCGAAGAGACACGAGCGTAGTGTGGGTTGAGAATGTGGTCTGAAGAGGAGGGAATTGGAGATTTCGATGTGGCCGTCTTTGGCAAGTTTTGCATCGGAAAGCTTCCAAAGCAGCCTAGACCTTCAGGGTCTTTGGTCTTGGGTTCAGAGGAGGAGAGTATAGACTTTGAGCTTGTCGAGTAACAACAGGTCTGTTCTCATGGTTGGCAGTCTGCAAGGGGATGACTCCCGCTGACAAAAATTTGGTACTGTACATAGTGGAGAAGGTGCAGCGAGATCTTGGCCTCTCCCATCTGGTCTGAAGTCAGAGTTCGTTTTTCGAAGCTCGAGATGTTTGAGGTGGCAGAAACATGGGCAGATGATGGTGCCTGCGGATGGGCCCATGGTGGTCAATAGACGGCCCAAAGTGGCGAGAGCAGGCACGCGATGGCACGCGAGATGGGACGTCTGTCTATTGTCCGCGCGTGTGCTTGGTGGTATAGACGGTAGACTGCATTGAGCTTGGTATACGCTGGGTGCAACCGTATGCGTGGTGGAACTGCGGGCGAGATGGATGAATGTCTCTGAGTCTGCAGATGCGAGCTGTGTGGGAATCTTTGCATTCACAGGTGTTTGGCAGTCATTGCAGTGGTGGTGGTGGTGGTGGTGGATAGGCGTTGAAGGGGGGTGTGGGTACGTACCGCAGATGGTAGGTTCTGATGCAAGACTGAGGGGGGAGGGGGCAAGGGGGGGAGGACAGGCAGGAGGAAGAGAGGATAGAAGATGTGCAAAGATGGCAAAAAGCAAGACAGGAAATGCGGATAGGAAACGATGGTTAATTACGGCCCAATACCTCCCAAAAAGATCAGCATACCTTACGAATTAAATGACCGGGACAGAGACAGGTGGAAGAGACATAGGCAGTCGTGGCAGTCAAACAGAGACAGAGCAACAGAGACCCGGAGAACGTGAAGAGGACCCCTTCTTTCCCATGTTGGGTCCTTGCTAAAATCCTTCCATATGCAGCCCAGCTCCTTCCTCCCACCTGTGTGGATTGTACAGAGTACGAAGAGTAGTAGAGCACGAAGGACCGGCGTGACTTCCACAGCAGTCAGAGACAGGTGCAACTCGCAAGTGCATTCAAAGTCAAAAGTGCAAGTGCAGGTGAGAGTCAAACGTCCCGTCGCTCTTTCCCACCTCTGGCGGCTGGTTTGATTACCCCGCAAATCATTCGATTGGGTGACGTCGACAAGCGGGGGTTTGGCTGGTTCAGAACCCGGCCGTCTAGTGGCTGCAAGCGCTAATCCAGCACGTCCAGCACTAGTAATTGCGCTAAGACCGGTACGTACCCGTGCGCAATGCCGCCAAAGTGTCTTTGCTGGAAGCAACGCTGAGGCCATGCCTTCCGTGATTGGGTGTTGTGTCTGTGAGCTCGCGCTGGGTGGGCAGCCGGGGTTGTGGTATCGTGGATGAGGAAGGCCCTGAGGGTGTGGGAGCTGCCGTAGCCTCCGCGCCAACCTTCCATGCTGAACTTGGCATCTTGGGTCTTTTAGACCGTTTTTGGCTCCAAAGACTCCCGCGTCGTGGTGGCTCCTTCCATCCCTCCACGATTCCACCATTTTCCAGTGCAGGTCAGAGGTGCAGGCAGGTGCAGGTGCAGGTGCCGTTGGTGTTGCAAGGAAGAGTACGAACGGCAAGAACGAGAGCGAGGACAAGAGAAGGAACGAATAGACAGGCAGGAGCAGATGCCCCAATAAGGTAGAAGGAGCAAGCCAGCCGTAAACCGCGTTCCTTCCACGGCTCCATCAAACAAGCCTCCTCTGGTCTCCGGTCTTCTCAATGCCGTTCAACTTGGCAGACGCACACCTGAACCCTTCCCCGTCAACATCACGATCCTTGCGTTGACATCAAACCTCTTTCATCTGCCTGTCTCCCCTCTTTAACCCTCCCACGGGACTGCGGATACTACACGAATGCAATACATCAGCTACCCATCAGAATTCCACCTCTATCCACCTCTATCCACACAGAGCCATAAAACACATTCATCGCGGCATCACAAAGATAGCAGCTTGTGTGCTTGTCAAGCATTCCAGCCTGGCGACTGGCCAACCCTAGGCTCCTATCTAAGATCCAATTCGGAACCCAAGAAGCTACTATCGGCCTCTCAAACGCAAGCCGACCGACCGACCATCCGACACCGCATTCGCCTCTTCCCCACACGCACCGCCATCCCACCATCATTTGCCTGTCCTGGCTGAGCAAGCAAATCCACGCCATCCGCCCAACACCCAGAGACCAGCCAGCAGCCCGCCCCCGGCACCAAAGCACCTCTAGCACACACGCACGCAAGCACACACCACCGTTTCACCCAAACCACTACAGAACAGTGAGAACAACCAGCCATCCCCCTCCTCTCAACTCTCTCTAGCCCGTTTACTCTGCCAATCTGGCCCTCCCTGCCCCTCTCCCCCTGCTACCTGGCCCGACCTAGGGTGCTGCCACTGATCCAAGACCTGCCCCCTAAGCTTCGACGTCACTCAATTTAGAGCTTCAACCCGCTTTGCTGCTTGTATTGGAAGCGCCGCTTAGAGAGGACGCTTCCCTCGTCGATCCCCCAGCACAAACGCACAAACGAAGCACAAAGACGAATAAGTCTCTCTTTCTGCCTCTCGCCAGGCCAGCAACCCCCTTGATCGACACCTTTTCACGACGCACTACAGAGGTACACTCATCCCATCCCTGGCCCTTCCCTTGTGATCAACCTTTTGTAACCCGCCCCTAGTGTCACCCCAAATCAGTCCATCGGCCACCTCGATATATAACCACCCTGTTCCACACATCCGCACCTGTCGAACGATTCCCCGTTCGATCCCTCTTTCGATTCTTTCTAGATCTCACCCCACGCAAGACGCACCTCCGAAACACAACTTGGACTACCCTTTGACTACCTAAACGCATACAACAACTCGACGCACGACATACCGATATCCCCGACTACATATACTACAGCCCCCAATTCGCTCCTTTACCATCTCTTTTGCCCATCATGTCCAACGACAACTCCAATACCAACCAGAACACCCAGAACAACCCGAACGAAATGCATCGCCAGAGACGTGGATCAGTCACCCAGCAGGCTATTGCCGGTCTCTTCAGAAGTAACTCCACCTCCAACGGCGGTGCTTTCCCTGGCACCAGCGACGCTCAGAGACGGAGACTCTCCGTTACCACCGGTCTCGGCCTTACCGGCACCTCGCCCACTGGTGCTAGTGCCTTCAACTCTCTCCGACGGGGAAGTCTTTCGACCAACTCCAACGACTCCATCGATGAGAATGCAATCGACGAGGAGGAGATTCCCCCCAACGCCCGCACAGCACCTGCCACTCCCTTCACCCGCAGAATGAGCTTTGGAGCTCAGGCAATGCGCACCATGCGCAACGGCGGTGGAAGTCCGGGTTCAAACGGTAATGACTTATCCTCTGCTTCTGCCACTCCCGTGCCTAGCACTCCTGCCGCCCTCGACAGACGGAGCAGTGTGCACTCTTCACGAGGTGTTGGTTCGGTTGCGAGTTCCACGTCACCGGCCAATACTTCGTCAATCGCTGCTGCTCTCTCGTCGGCCAGGCGTCGATCCAGCAGCACTGTACAGGCAAGCATTGCACATAAGCAAAGATCATCTTCTGACGTGTTCTCTCGTCCAGACCAAGGTTTCAACTGGTCTGAGCAGCTTAGATCTCGCGCCGAGAGCTCTGTTCAAGGACCTCGAGCGTCTTTCTCTTTTGGCTCTGGTCTTTCATCCTCTCCTCCTCGCGGCCCCGGCAATGGCGTCGCCCACGACCGTCAGAAATCAGTCTCCGAGATGCCTGCTCCCCCCGCCCAGGCGGCTGCTATGAAGCCAAAGGCCCCGGAGCGACCCAAGCCTGATGCCTTCCAGGAACGTATCCTCAAGGGCGATTTCTACATGGACTGAAATATTCACGTCAGGAACGGCTACTACGACCGATGTTGATCATCATGCCATCGTAACAAGCCCCGTCAAAGATGGCATTTCACTACAAGAACATGATTTTCGCCAAACGGAAAATGAGAAAAAGATCATCAAGCGTTTCACAGATTCTGAGCGTCCTTCATCCCTGTCTATTTTTTAAGCTGGGGAACACTTTCTATCGGCTCAACCCCACGTGGCGTTCGGTTGGTTGTGATGCAGCCCGGTTGCGGCTGCACACTGAGCGGGGAAGCTCCATACCACATGCACATGAGACCGTTGTCTCACATTTGATCACGGAAGCGGAATGCAACTGCAATTTCACGAGGAGTTTACAAACGGGATGGGGAATATGGGGGAGGACAATCGCAAATTGCAAGATTTCGGGTTCCAAAACAAAATTGGTCCGGAAAAGAACATGATTGCTTGCGGCCCATCAGAGAATGTTGATGGTGTCAAGATCTCGACATGGATTCATGTCTGGCGTACAGAGAGGGGGAAGGGCTCCGGTATCGTTACATCGCTGGCGGTCACGCGGCGAAAGGCTTTGGGTTGGAGACCGGGCTTGTGCCGGCGGCCGAACAGACTGAAGGTGGGCGGAAGCATGGATTTTGCGTTTTATCAGGCGGCCGCGATAGGTACAGAGTTCACAACAGGCCGGACTTGGAAGAGGGGTTAGGTTGCGGGCACACAGCCCGGGCGAGAGGCGGATGAACGGCCGGCGATGAACGCCGAGCTTAGCTACCATGAGAAACACGCTCGGACCCGAATTGAAAGTTTCGCGGTCCCAACCCAAAATTTTGATGTTATCATTCAGTGAGACCTCACCTACCATAGCCAAATACGAGGGGTGAGTGACAATGCCTAATGTAAATGTGTGCCTCTCGGGTCGCGGCAAGCAACTTGTTAGGCAACTTGTTAGACACGGGTGGTAAGCAGCCAAGGCATCCCCGAAAGACACAGCGTGGGATTAAACTGGGTCTCCATTCCGGGTGGTCGGTATCTCGTTCCCATTCGCCGGGAGCCAGGCTTGCAAGGTCTCACTAGCGGGCGGCGAATTCGTGCGTAGGCACCGTAGGGCAGCAGGTGGACTCGGGGAGACGGGTTGGTTCCACGGAGCTTCTGTCATTACATTCCCCACGTGAAGCAGTGGTTGGTAGTCCACCGCAGGTCCCGTCCTATCCGGGGGTGACGGACAGTCATCATCAATCAACTCATTCCATTTGTAAGTCAAGGCCCGGTGTAGCATGTGAACACGTAGGTAGGAGTGTTGGGTAATGAGGAGTTGAGGTACTTTTGTGTGAATGTGAATAACAGTCAAGAGAAATCTATCCTTTTTTGTTCGCCTGACCAGACTTTCCAAGCATCTATTCATCGTACATAGGTATCTCGTATAAATGACACATGCAAAAAAAAAATAAACAACGACATTGCTGAGATGGGTTGTGGAGTTTCGTGGGATGTAGAATCGGATGGTTTGCGAGAGCACAACTCAGTTCCACTCACGAGCTCCCAAAACTCACTGGTGTTTGTAGCGAGCGACCCTCGACTCCAATACCTCCCTCTCTCCCCTCGGGATGTTTATTCCGACCATCTAAGAGGGGATGAAGCTAGATTCCGCCGCTTCATCTCTTCTCCAAGGAAAAAAAAGTGCGATCTTGATCCCAGGTTCCCCTCTCTTCTTGTGCTTGACTTCTTATTCCCAAACGGGCCCCTGGGAGACGTCAGAAGAGTTAAACTTCCCATCTTTCCCCTGGTCCCCCCCCCCTCTGTGACCAATATTCCCTCTGCCCCTCATTCCTTCCCCAGAGTCCCCCGGATCTGTCCTCGGCCGTAACTAAGATTCTGCCATGCTGTAGTATGGCAGTTTCATGTAGACAATAGTTTAGTGTTGTGTAAATGAGTCAAGACCCGTCGGTTGGGCTTTCTTTGTGAGGTGTTTCGGCTCCGAGCATGTCCAAATCACCCTCCACCCCCGAAGCCCGAGTAGGGCTAGAAGCGTCGCTAGAAAGCTTAGACCAGAAAGGATGTGGGCCGGTCGACAATGGTATCGTGATTTCTGTCATCGCTTTCGGAGGACTCCGTAAAAGTTAACTCTCCTGTCCCCCTTCTTGTCGGAGAGTTGAGGTGAGGATGAGGGACGGGGGTCTGGAAGCAGACCCCGCAGGTCGGTGGTAAGTTGACAGGCCGTATACGCAAAATGCGACATCCGACCCAAGGTGTTCCCATTACTCCGGCCGGATAGCCAGGGCCACTCCGCCAGGTTCATCCCAACCCCCGAGCGTCAACAAACGCCGGCCGTAGATACGCGCGTGAACCAGGTGTTCATAGGAGCGGCCTTTTGCCATGGAGGTGAGTTCCCGTAATTCGACACCATTTCCGGGGGTATCGTTCACATGGGAAACATGGGCGGTCCCGATCCGCCAGGCATCCCCTCAAAAATCTCACCGAGCCCGCTCATCCCGCTCAACCATGGATCCTGCGCCATGACATACCGCATCCCGTTGCTCAAGCTTCCCGGACTCGTTCCGAACCCCGTCGTGATCTCCTCGAGCGATAAATCGTTCGTGAAGCCCGGGTCGAGTCCAAAGTCTTGTAAATCGTTGGTCCAGACGGGATTCAGCCACGGCGCCACTGGATTCGGCCCCGGTCCGGCTCCTGCTCCACTTCCGTCGCCCGGACCTGCAACCGTCGTCGCCGCCGTACCGCTCGACGCCGCTGTCCCCGGCCCGGAACCAGGTCCGTCCATCGGGGTAGGCGTGACGGCGCTGGGGTCGTAGAGGAAGGACTGGCGTGACGGGGGCGGGTTCCAGAGGATATTGTTTGTCGCGCCACCACCACTACCACCGCCAGAACGATCGTTTTGCGTAGCGATCTCTGAAAGCAGGTGAAGAGGCGTGTTGGCGGCGGGGTATTCATGCATCGGCGGATGCTGTTGCCCTGCATACACCCTTTGCTGCGCTTGCTGTTGCTGCTGTTGCTGCTCCTCCGCGGCAGTGGAAGCAGGTGTCGCGTCCGGCCGTCGAGAAGATGGTTGTGCAGCAGAAGCCGGCGTCTCAGGCTGCGAATTTGAGGTCTTGAACCCAGCAGCAGCGTCCGGCACAGGTAGAACACCCATCGCAAGCCCCTTACTCTGCTTCAGGAACCAACTCCGCAACATGACCAACACAATCAAGAACTTCGCCGCAGGACGACTCCGATCATCCGACGCAGCGGCACGGAACTTTTCCAGCAGCGCGTCCAGATAATACTCCACCTTCATGTTATCCTTGTCAATCACCCTCCCCAGCTCGGAGCCGGGCGCCGTGGCGGAAAAGTACATTTTGATGAGGACCACGACAGCGTAGGCCACACGGACAAAGTTGAAGACGGGCAGGCAGCGAATGCTGGGCACCTCCATTGCTAAAAACGCCTCAAAGATGCCGTCAATGGCTGAGAGGCAGGCTGACAGGGCGTTGATGTGCGAGGTTGTCAGGGTCAGGTTCGTGAGCATGCCGTCTTTGAGGGTGGCTGTGTCAAAGGGCGGGCGGATGTCGTCCATTTGGGTGTGGAGGGCGATTTCGTGCATGTAGAGCGAGAGGACGTGGAAGGACATTTTGAGGGTTGCTTCATCCGGTGGTCGTCAGCCACAGCCTTCATACAACCGTCGTGAGTATAAAGGGGGATAGTAACTCACATTGCATCTCCTCCTTGGGAACGGAGGCACTATACTTTTCCAAATCCCTCTCCAACATCCTCAGGGAGTACTGCGTCCTCGAATCCGTAATATTCGGCACCACAGCAGGGTCGTCCATGGAGAATTGTATGCCCACCTCTTCGGCAAGTCGATGCGTCCACACAAGATGACAGAAATACTTATCCGACGGCGCCGCGTCCGCGCTCGTCTGCAGAGCCTGCATCGACTCGGCCATGAAACTCGTCCACCGCACCAGGTTCGGCCGGTGCAGCGCCATGGAGGTATTCGCCGCCAGGAAGTACGCGGCCAGCCACGCCCGCCTACACTCGCTCGTCGTCGGGTCGGGCGGCGGCGCCCTCTTGAACGGGTGATTGCGCCACTGGTACGGTATCTGCATCTTCCTGCCCGCCGTGCGCCTCCCCAGCCCGATGTCCAGCGCCATCACGGCGCCAATGTGTACGAGCTGGTAGAACTTTAGCTCCTCAAAGTGCTCGGGCGGCCAGTACCATATCACGGCCACCTGCAGCGCCTGCACAATCTCCAGACTCTTCTCGCCCGTGATGATAATCTTCTCGGCAAAGATCTGCATCAGCTCCTTGACCAGCCTCCGCTGCACGTTGGGGCTCTCGGAGCTCGACGCCGCCATGATGGCCAGGAACAGCAGCGGCTTCGCCCGCCTCGTCTCCTCGGCTGTCGCGTCGCGCGGGAACACCACCGCTGGCATGTGCGGCGCCATAAGCGTATTGTACCGCTCAAATAGCTCCGCCGCCTTGTCCGCGCTCAGGATTCCGCGCTCCACGACGTCGGCGTAGTCGCTGCCCATGTGGATCGGCGGCGCCGGCCTGGCCCCGATCTGTCCGCCTTCCGGTATGTCGCTGCCGCTCGGCGTATCGTCCCCACGGTCCGAGTGTTTCCTCTTTTGCCCTGCCGCGGCGGAGGGCGCGGGAAAAGTAATGTGGTCGAACCGCCCCTTCTCCGCCGCGTGTGCCTCCTGCGGATCGAGCCCTTCCACAGATAACCCCGTTCCAGCAACCGTACTCGAAGTCCACTCCCTCGCGAGCCCATGGCCTCCCCACCCCTTGTTGTATGGATTCTCGTCCCTCCCCGGCGTAGGCAAGGTCGTATGCGCGCTCGGCGTTGTCGTCACCGCCGGCGCGGCGCCGGGCGCCGCGGAGCTTCCGCGGGCTTGCAAGCTCGCCGTCAACGCATCAATCTTCTTCTCCAGCTCCGCGACCCTCGAGTCCGTTTTCTTCTGCCTCTTGCGCGTCGGCATTGTCACAACACAGTTCCTCCCTGCCTTCTTGCACCGCTTACACGGGCTCTCGGTATCGTTCGGATCGGGTTCGCATCGCACCTTGAGACCCCGGCACGCCTCGCATGCGCGCGGCCGCTTGGGGTCGTCGTGGTTCCCGCCGTGTAGCGCATCGTGCTGCGGCGTCTCGCCGTCGTGGCCCGAGTGAGGCGTCTCGGGGGAGTCGGGGTGGTGCTGATGGTGATGGTGTCCCTGTCCCTGTCCCTGTCCCTCGGAGCTTGCTCCAGCGGCGGCGGCGGCTTCGTCATCGTGGTAGGCACCGGCAGCGCCTTGAGGGGTCCCGCTCATGCCATTGTTGTCATTGTTAGAGGGCTCCGCGCTTCGTAGTGCTGGGTCGAGAACTGCGGCGCCGTGATCCATTGCGAGCGGAGCTTGGCGAGGTGCAGTGCTGAAAGCCAATATCGGATGATCGGTGACGGCGACAGAAAATACCGACCTTTGTTCGGCGGAGGGCACGGAGAGTTGTGGCCGACGGGTGTGCGCCGACCTTTCCGTCACTAACAAATATTAGTCAGCGGCGAGGGCAGCAAGTATCACGCTGAGTGACATTCAAAAGTGCATTCACATTCCCATCTCGCCTTTGCAGCAGATTAACCCTAGGTTGTCGCTTCTCAGATTGTGAAAATTATTGATAAAAAGGTTTTCCGTTGTTTAAGCTGAACTAAATATGTAGAATGCCAAAGCCACACCTTCGCTGCATGCGATCCCGGAAACCATGAGACGAGGTGCCACTCGCAGCTCATCACCATCAACGCCATGCTGAGATCTGTGAAACAAAGCAAGCATAAACCATCAAAAGCCGCACGGGGGACAGCGACGCCTTGAACAGCAGTATCTCCTGTGTCCATATGATACAAATGTTGTCCCTCAGACTCATTGAATCTTCTACTTTGCCATCAGGCACTCCGTTTCCAGCTCACTCCTACTTTGGCTCGCGAATGCGAATGTGAAACAATTGACAGTACAAAGAGGCTTGAGATGTGTAGGTGTTGATCGGTATTAAAAAAGCGCTCGGCGTCGATCCGAGATTGGTGTGGTATGTTCGGGTATATTGGCGCCATCATGTCGTCCACGCCCCGAGGGCTGACATTAATAAATAAAACGTGAAGAAAAATATGCAAGGCATGGTATCAACGCTGCGTGTAAACGAGTGGGTATGTTTGCGTAACGAGGGAGTGAAAGTGAGGCCTGAAGCAACCAGACTGACGAGAGACAAGGTAACGCATCTCAGAACTGGGTCTCTTCTCGCAATCGACTCTTGGAACTTTGTGGGTTGAGACCGACCATGTTGCCCATAAAGATGGCACTCTCGCGTCTCTTGTGTTGGTCGTATCCTGAGGAACCGTTGTCGTAGCCACGAGCCATTTGCTGGTAGTTGTTGTTCTGATATCCAGATGGCATGTACTGAGGCTCATATGTTGTACCACGGCCGATGGGGTAGTTTGGTGGTGGTGTGGGAGACTGCCGAGCACTCTGTAGGTCTTGGAGCAGAGGAGGGGGGGTGTTGCCGGTGCGTTGCTGGCCAGTCATGGCATCCATCAGTCTCTGGCGATGCGGTGACTGACTGGACCCCGCTGATGTAGAAGGACGCGCATGTTGGGAAGGGTCGTAGGAAGGGCGATTCGGAAGTCCATTGTTCATCGATGGCAGGGAGCCTGATCTCTCTCGGCCCGTCTCTCCTTCGGCGAATGAAGACGGCAGCTCATACTGCTCAGGTTCCAAGCCGAAGATGCCAAAGTAGTTTTGCAACAGCAGCGCGAATACCGGTGCTGGGATGTTCAGAGTTGGAGAAAACACGATGCCCACGTTGCGGACCGTCATCTTGTTCATGTCTGCGTTGTTGATAATCTTGATCAAGAACGCAATCAGATACTTGAGTAGAGTGGCATTTGCTTGGGGCAGCCTCTGGACCAGTTCGGACACAGCGGCAATTTTGTCTCTTTGGTCTGTCATCTCCGTGACAGACAGGAACTCGAGGTGGAGGTCCCGAGTGAGTATTGTTGTCGGAAGTTCACGGAGATACAACTTCAATAGCGACGCCACAGCATGAATGTCGTAGTAAGTCTCATCGGTCACTAGATTGACATCGCCCTCGGTGTTGAAGCGCTCGCGTAGCTGCTTGATAACGACGTTTGAGCCGCTCAGGCGGAAAATGCCTTCCTCTAGAATTGCGTTCTTGGCGTCCAAGTATTGAATGCATCGATACACAACGGCGGGGAGGGGCACGTTTACATCGACAGGGTGGTTGTAACGAACAGCTTCGGCCAAAGGAGCCCCGAAAGCTTGGCGAATTGGTCCCTGGTATCCGCCCTGGGGAGGTGTTGACGAACCGCCTTCGCTTCCACCAAATAGAGAATCTTGGCCGTCGGATGACGATCTCGTCTTGGGGCCAAACCCGAAAAAGCTTCGCTTCTTCAGCTTCTTCTCCTCGTTGACGGGAACGCCAAGTCCTGGTCTATTTCCCCATTGCGCAGAGTCGGCAATGACTTGCATATCCCGTGGAGCGGAGATCATCATGGATGGCTGCGAAGACATTCCCATGGGTTCAACAGAATGGCTGATCTCTGCCATGTGTCCAGGATTTCTGGGACGCGCAGGTCCGCCATGGTGGGGAAGGTCGCCTTGAGAGGTCGCGTCGTACCTGACGCCTATGAGGCTGTCGGATTCGGTAGGCTGATGATGGTGCTGTGAAGCGGTCTTCTTGTATCGCTGCTTCTTCTTTTCGGCACGCTCAGCTGCGCTAGCATGTTGGCGATCTTGAGTCTGCTGCTTCGCGGCATGGGCTTCATCTTCTTCCGGATCTTTATAATCAATCCATCTGAGTAAAGCGTCAACCCACTGGTCTCTTTCCCTATCATTCTCGGCACAGAGAACGTGCTTCACGTGGCTGGTCGAGTCCTTCTTCTTTGGCTCGAGAATCAAGAATGCATGACGGTACTGGTTGTCCATGTCATCCGAGTTGGCAGACGGTTGCGGTGACTGGTTTTCGTTGCTCTGAGACTGTTTGCCGATCTGAGAGCTAGGAAGCTTGATGGTGCCCAAGTGGGCGCCCCCAGGTGTTTCATAGTACTTCAGATGCGGCCCATCAAGGACAAAGAAGCGGGCTTTCCAGCCACCAAAGTTCTTGCCTCTCTTGGTGAGATATCCAGTCCTGAAAGGGCGGCCGCCAGGACCAGTCTTGACTTTAGCTTCCGCCATGCTCTCCATCGAGCCGGCGTCATCTGCGTTTGGTGGCAGTGTTTGGGTCGACAGATATTTACAGAGCTCAAGAGCACTAGCAGTATCCAGAGGAGTCTCCAGAAGCTCTTCCAGGTAGTGATTGAGAGCAATTCGCCGCGCGTCGAGCTTAGCAGGCGCATGGCCACTAAAGAGTGACCTCTCTGGTGTCTTTGCGGTGAAGGCCGGGCATTGTTTCAACCTTTGGTCGAGCTTTGCGAGCGAAGCAGAATCCTTCTCAACCCGCCAAAGCTCGCCCGGTTCGGAACGCGAGAAAATGGCCAGCGTAAACACCGGATCCTCTTCCAGTTGTGTCAAAGACATCAAACTTGCTCGGGACGGTTTCATGCGCGAGGACGCAACCTTCACCTTGATTGTTGGCAAGACGTTTGGCGGCAGGAGTAGATCGGGGTATTCCTCGGTGGTGAACCCCTTGAAGATGCGACCACGTTCGGTCGGACTGCTACGGCTCTTCTCGCTGGCTGAATCCCATCCCTTCTTGACAATATTCAGAGGCTGAGGGCTCTTGAGAACCATAGGCTCTGGGCCGGCTGGTGTTTGAAGGGAGTGGCCGGGTGGGAGTGGGATCGGCTGACGAGGTGGCCGTGGCGACAGAGGTGCGGCGGGGAACGACGAAACACTGGGTGCAGGGCTATCAGATGACGGGCCGCCCATCGGACGCGGACTTGATGGTAGCCCAGGGCTCAGCAAGGGAGCGTCGAGAGTAGTTGCACTAAGAACTGATCCCAGAGAAGCTGGGATGTTCTCACGCTGCATCCTCTTCGGCGGGCTTGGTGGCAAACCCGTTGGGGCCTCGGGAATGGCCTCAGTCGGTGAGTTAGTCTGACTGTGTGTTGTGCTCTTCTTGGATAAGCTTCTTCTCTCCGCCTCTTGAATGGCCAAGATCTCCCGGTCCTGGTCATCTTCTTCGCGTGTTCTACGGCGACCGCGTTGTTCAGTGAGTATTTCGTCCACCTCTAGAATGTCGTCGAAATCGGAGTCAGAATCATCGTCTTCAGCGCCTAGTTGAGACTGGCTCTGGAGCTGCAAAGGAGCCGGGGGAGGCTTCCGTGGCGGTGGGGCAGGGAACTGTGAAATGCCTTCGCTGGCTGCGGATGCTGGCTCTGTTACTCCTGGAGGCTTAGGCGGAGGCATGCTTGGCGGCTGGCTCGGTAGGCTTCGGGATGATGGAAGGCCAAAGTTCAGGGGAAGATCCATGATTTGATCGTCCTCATGCTCCCTGCGTGCCGCTTCCGCGGCTTGTTCCTCGGCGTCATGGTCGAATTGATCATAAGCGTGCTCATGTGCTTTAGGCATCTCGTGGGACGGGTCTAGTAAAGCACCAACAGCTGATGGAGGGCCGTTGGGCTGGTCTGCGGGAGGCGTGATCGGGTAGGGGGCCATGGCCATATCCACGGGCGAGTGTTTCTGACTGTCGGAGTCTAGAGTTGGCGAGTCCGGTGCAACGACCTGTCGCTCCTTTGGAGCGCTGACGTCGACTGTCGGTATCCCTCTGCTAACGGGCATCTTGAGGACCTTGCTGCTAGTCTTCGATCCGTCGGCCCCTGTGAATTCCGGTATTGACATGACTTCTTTCAATTTCTTTCGGTACTTCTCCTTGTCCTTCAAGGCCCGTTCCAAATCTTTGTTTAGACCCAAAATCATGGCCCTCTGCTTGTCGACTAAGCGCCATAGTTGCGCGTTCTGTTGCGATTGCGAGTTCTTCTCTTTCAACAGGTACTGGATTACCGCCTCCGGGCTGCCTGCAGTCTTGATCAATCCCTCAATGTCTGTGGGATCAGACTGACTGCCAGCTGCGCCTCTGTGCGACTGTGACTTTGTGGAAATGGCTGAAATGGCAGAGTCCATGGAGGAGTTCCGCGGCGCTCCTTTGCTCTGTTTGCCCCGCGATGCAGCGGCCAATCCTCCGGAAGAGGACATTGGAGATCGGAGGGGGCCTGCGAGAGGCCTAGATATCAGAACAGGTTCGGAGGTGCTTCGGTTATCATTCGTAGGGAGCGGTGATATTCTTGGTCTACTGTGACTGTTTCGTCTGTCAGCTGTGTAATGTGTGGCAATGCGGGGAGCAACTAGAAATAGTCGAATCGGCAGGAGGCGACGAGACGCACGCGTACCGTAGTGTGCTGCGTTCGGGCGTTGATGAGCGGGACGAATCGCTTTGGTAATATGTCTGCGGTTCTCCTGAAAGATCTACTGGAGAGCGGAAGTCGTCGGTGGGCGTCGTGACTATGTCTGGGACAGTTCGAGAACGGTGGGTATGAAATCTTGCGCCGGGTGGGAAGAAAGATGACGATCGAGGAGAGAAAGGGCTTGTCGGCGAAGAAATGGCAGTGCTCTCGTGGAGGGGACTGGGTATCGGGCGCCGAGGGGATCTATAGGGTGGAGGAGAGCATCAGTCAATATGCTGCCAGGCCAGAGCCGTGGATCCAAGTCCCACAATATAGCAGGATAGATGATGGCAAGGCAGCTGGGGAATCGGCGTTGAGCGAAAAGTCAAAATTAAAGAGTCGCAGGCCGCCAAGACAAGCACACGATATCCTCGCAGACCGGGGATCGAGGCAGAAAGAGGTTGCGTTCTCTTTCTCTCCTTCTGCGGTTTGCGTTCGGTGGTAGGCGTTGGCGTGAGTGGACAAGCGAGCGAGTCGCAGGACTGTTTGTCTGGCGGGCGTGGAAAAGGCAAGGCAAGGTGGTAGGGTCAAGGAGGAGAAAGAAAGCAGCAACAGCAGCGACAGCAAGAAAAAGCAAGGCGCAGAGAGGGAAAATGGGAAGCAGACAGGCAAACCAGAGCGAAGCAGAGCAGAGCAAAGAGTGGACCGTTACTCGTTTGGTAATCAGAGCCAGTGGAGGCCAGTGGAACGTACCTTGGAGATGGAGTAAGAAGAGGGCTGGTCGCACTGCTAGGAGTGTGACTGGCAGCGGTAGCGGCAGCGATGCTTGTATTGGCGGTGGTGCTGTTGTTGCTAATGCTTGCAGGATCGGATGCTGGGATCAAGAGGCCTGTCGTGGGGCCATCCTTGGAAGAAGGGGAGTAAGAGGAGACGTCTGCGACCTGCAGCCGGTGAAGAGGATGTTTTTGGTGAGGGAGGCGAGGGTGATGATGAGCACCGGGGGCGACAGCAGACAAGCGTGGAGCAGCATCAGCAGCAGCAGAAGCAACGGCAGAAGCAGAAGCGGAAGCGGATGCGTCAACGGGAGGACCAGACGTGGAAGTCGTACCAGAAGCATCAGGATCTGAAGTTGAGCCCTGGGCACTCTGAGTCTGGAGCGCAAGCTGCGACATGGTGGGCAATGCGACGGAAAGACAACTGGCCGGCGGCCCAACTAGGGGTGTGTGCAGGGTCAGAGCTTAACGCAGGACAACCTCGCAGCGGTTTCGAGATGCCTGGGTAACCCCGACTGCCGTTGCATGTAGACCGGCCTCCTTCCAGACGGGATGCAGATTGTAGTATAGGTTTTTTATTTTTGTTTCTCGGGAGCGAGCGAATCCAGCCGGGAAGGGACGCGGACGGAGAGCGGAGCCGAGGGGTCAGTCGTGCGTGCAAGGACTAGACGATGCTGATGAGAGTCGACTCTGATCTGTTCTGATGCATATAGGTAGCCAGTCGGACAGGTAAATCTGGGCTCTGCTGGGTTGGGTTTTGGGAGTTGAGGTTGTCGTCACGGGTTGCTGTAGTATTGCAGGGCGAGCAGGACGTATGACGAGGATGTGGAAGGACAAAGAAGGTGAGGTTGTATCTTGGACGTGGGCCAGAGCAGAGCACAGTAGATCAGATGAATGGCGTCCTTCGAGTCCTAAGGGAGGGATGGAGGGCCCGTTTCGCGGTGCCGGATATGCTTTGTGAAAGGAATGCTGCCAGCCGGGCGTGAATGAGACAAGTGCCCGTTGTCTTGGGTAGGCGTGCGCGTGTGCGTGTATGTATGTGTGTGTTTGTGTGTTGTGTTGTGACGGGGGGTGATGCTGGACGAGAGGACCATTGGCTGGCACAGACACAAGAGAGAGAGCGAGAGAAGCAACTCGGCTATAGACGATTTGGCATCCGCGAGGTGAGGCCAGAAGCAAAGAGACGGGAGGATGTGGCCGTTGGGGTGGCCGAAGTGTAGGTTTTCCGATGAACAATGCAGTGCAATGCAACGCGAATGATGGTGGGCCAGGCCAGACAGACCAGCTTCAGAGTCGACCAGCGTTGGGGGGGGAAGGATTTGATGTTGTGGTGTTGTGATGTTTTGATCAAAGAAACCCCTTATTTCCCGTCTTGCCGCTTCCAGCAACTAGCAAAGGGAGGCTGATCTGTGGTGCTGTTCGTGGCAGAGGAGGGTAACATTCGAGTCGGCCGTCAATAAAACTAGCGGAGAGCCTAGAAGTCTGGATAAGAAGATCAGAATATTATCTGTATAGTACATTCAACCAGTCGAGTGTATCCGTCACCAAACATCCATTCCATCATTCAGGGCAGGTCGGCAGCGGCATTCGCAACCGGACCTTAACAGGAGGGGGGACGGCGGGGGGGAGAGGAACGTACATCTGAAGGTTAAACAGGGTGCCGGGGAATAAGTGGCCGGTCGATGGTGGTGGTGGTGGTGGTGGTGGTGGTACCTGGAAGCGTGAGTAAGGGAGGTATCTTTGCACCACAGGTTCCGCGACGATGTATCCGTACTTGGCAGCCAAAGGGGCCAATGATAACCCAAGAGTCGTAGCAGCAGGATGCGTGGACTTGGAATTGGCTGCAGGTGGTGCAGTCCCCTGTTGCTGCTGCTGTACGTTCCTGGTTGTGTGGGTGGGTTCGTGGTTCTTGGTGTCTGCATCTGCCGCTGCAAGGTGTGGCCAGAAGGGGAAGGATGCAGTTGGGATATGGAATAGTCTGTACTCCGTGATAACCATACGCTGGGAGGTTTCCTGAGGGCCTTCGAACTTCCGTCCATTCAGGGGCCAACTCGGGGAAGAGGGACGAGGATGAGAATGTCGAAGAGAACGCGAGCGTGACCGTAGACGTGGACGCAAGGAGAGGAGATGAAGAGGAGGATGCAGAAGAGATTGGATTGACAATGACCACTGGCAAGCCGCAAAAGAGATGCGATGCACCATCAGCATTGACCTCTGGGGTTCATTTTGCATCTCGTTGTTGGTCACCCGGATGATGGATCCCTCCCTTCCATCATCCCCTCCCTCGAGGCTCCATGGCACCGTGGCTCCTCGACCATAAACGTGCTAGCTAGCATCGGAGCAATTGCTGTATCCTCCCCGATAGTTGTATCCCTTTGGAGCCTTTGGCCCCCAAGGTGAACGGGAATGTCGGTGTCCCATACACGTGCCACTATCATTTCAAAACGATACTTGGTGCGGGGCCTCGACGGCGCGCTGCGTAGAATGATGCTACAGGATGACAGTCTGGTAGCGAAGAAAGTATTCGTCTGGTAACCCTGTCAGCCTTTGCCTCTAGTTCGCATACTAAGGGTGGTTCAGTCATTTAGTGTTGGACTCTTAAGGTTGTGAGAAACGTCTTCATCTCCCAGGGCAGCCGGTCTGCCGCTGGTGTGTCAATGGCGAAACCGTCACCCTAGATTTGTTGTTCATCGTCCATGGCCTTGCCGCCATGATGGCTTTTTATGGCGTTCTGGACTTTGCCTCAGTAAATTAAGTCGTAACCAAGGGGATTGTTCATAAACGTTTTTTGCTGATTTTTCTTTAGCGGGTGAGAAACAAAACTGAGGTCTACTCAAGCCACCTGCATGTTGAAAGTGCTTAGGCTTACATAAGGCTGTTTCCAAGGTACCTGCCTACGTAGGCTGCTCCTTCACGATATCACCTTCCTTTCGTGTTCATGCAATTCCCTTTGGAAAGTGCCGACCTCCCTACCTTGGTAAATTGTTCTTTCCCCAGTAGGTAGACAGCAAGACTGAATGTAGCATGAGGTGCCTTGCTGCTTCTGGATTTGCCCAAATAGGTTGACGAATTATTACCTAACGAACTAAAGGTACTGCGAAGCACTTCTATCTGTCCCAGGCCATGAGGCATCCCAAAGTTCCGTATCTTACCTTACTATGTAGGTCCTCCAATTTTGATGCTTCGTGTCTTTTCTGCATCGAAATCAATCTCCAGCCACGTCTGGGTCCCAGCCTTTTTGCCTTTGGTTTCACTTCCTTCGTGCAGGCCGACGGAACCAGCAAACCGGCACCACTAGGTGCCGTGGGAACCTTACCAACACGGGCGCTCACGGTTTCCCACGTCAGCCACGTGTGCTGGCCAGCAGCAACTTATTGAGCCGGCTAGTTGTGGTTCCAAGGCATCGTCAGAGTCACACGCCCGCCCTACGCCCTTGGAGACTCGCTACGCCAATCTCGAGTTTTGTTCTCCATCCCGACTCGGCAATCTCTCCCAACCTCGACGGCTTTTTTATGACTACCTTACAGTCCACTGGGTTTGTCTATCTACCGAGAAAAGGTCGGCCACGATCAGATGTCGCCAGCTCCTCGAACGAAACTGATGTATTTAACAGGTTGGAACTCTCCGGCTCCCTTTAACCTTTGACGTATGAACCAACCCAGACCGTGGTCTCGACCCCTCGGCTCCGGAAAGTACCTCGCCCTCCACGACACTATACAACCCTCAAATTCATCCAATAACCTGGCAGACATTCGGCAGCCAACATCAGCAACATATTGTCGTTGCGTAATATCCCGAATGTCCCGCACTGCTGGCGAGTAGCCACAGGTCATCTCGCCTCTCTCCCGAAACACCGGCTTTCTTGAAACATGCCAGTCACGAGTCCGCGTACGACAAACATACATGTCTACGTATTACAGATCAGTACGGAGTACACACGCCAACTGGCTTTTGTCATCTGGCTCTT